TTTTAGGGTCCCTTCCAACCCAAACCATCCTGGGATTCTACGAATAACCTGACAAGAATGAGGTGCAACCTGGCCTTGGACACCCCCAGGGATGGGGCAGCCACAGCTTCTCTGGGCAACCTGTGCCAGGGCCTCCCCACCCTCACAGGGAAGAATTTCTTCCCAATATCTCACCTAAATCTCTCCTAGTTTTTAAATGTAATTAGGTTTTCCCCTTGCTGCAACCTTTGCTGCTGTTGCCCAGATGAAGTGAAAGGGGAAGCATAGCCTTGTGAAGAAGATGTGATGAAGAACACAGCTGGGGGTTGATGGTATTCATTAGGAGGGTGTTTTCCAGTCTCTTGGGAATTCCCCGTGGAGTCCATTGCTTTTTGTGTTCCAGTTCTCATGACATGCTTCTCCTTCACTTTGCAGCCACCCCGTGCAGGCTGCAGCACCTGGCAGTGCCACCTGGGACATGGGCACACTGGAGGCTTTTGGGGCAGCCCAACAGAATCATGGAATCCCAGGATGGTTTGGGTTGGAAGGGACCTCAAAGCTCATCCCGCTCCACCCCCTGCCGTTGGCAGGGACACCTTCCACTAGCCCAGGCTGTTCCAAGCCCTGTCCAACCCGGCCTGGGCAGTCTACGACCTCTCTGGGTTGTTCCAGCTCCTTCCAGCCTTCCAGGTGCCCACTCCTCTGCCTCTTCCCTTGTGGGAAATGATGATGTGCCCATGCTGGTCACCAGAGTCACGTAGCAGATGGGAACTCCTTTGGTCTGTGAGAGGAAGTCCTAAAGACATGCAAATACTTGAACCCAGAACCATGGACCTTCCCACACCGCAGCCTTCCCCTGCTGACCAGGCCCTCCCACTTCCCAGATGAGCTGTGCCCATGGGAATGGTTCCATCACAGGCTGAAAATCTCCTTTCCTCAGAGCCAGTGGTGATATCTCAGGGAGGTTCCCGATGGGGATGTCCAGGTTCACACCACTCCCACAGCATGTGAGAGTTGACATGTGATAGTTCTGAGGTGAGTTTGGTTCCCTGGTGTGATGTTCCAAGACAAGAAGATCCTTATGCAGAGAACTCTAAACCTTGTTCATTTACAACCTTTAAACTGAGTTGGATCTCACCAGATTGTGCCAGTGTTGCTCCTCCAGGAAAACTCCAGGAAAATAAAGCTCCAGAAGACATGTAAAGGATGAGTTCTACACCCTGTGCAGGTAAGGAAAAGGCATCTCATGTGCCAGCTTGTAGCAGCTGCTCCAGGGTTACTCACCAACACACCGACCCCCTCGGGAAGGGAACTGTTGCAAAGAAATGAAACTGGGCAAAGAAATTCAAATCACCACTGACAAAAATAGGAATTCATTTCCCTCTCCAGGTCCCTCTCCCTCAAAGTATTCCTTTATCCCCTCCAAAAGGGTCGCTGGGTTCTGCCTGTCAAGGGATTCTGAACTGCAAAGGAGGGAGAAGAAGTTTCAGCAAAGACAAGCACTGAGGTTATTTTTAGCACCAGCTGGATGGAAAATACTTCTCAGAGTCTCTGGCTGGTGAGAGGAGAAGACATTTCCTCCTTTTTAGCTTCTGCTGAAAAACAGAAGTCAGGAAACAACCAACAATAACAAAGGGCAACGGTTCTGACGGGCAAATCCTTGTGGCTGCTGTCGGCAAACCCCAGACAAGCCCAGGAGAAAAGCTCCTGGAGCTTCCTCCAGCTCCAGGGATCCAAGGTGCTCAGCTGCTCCTGGTAAAACCTGGGGCAGGCTTCCAAGGTTTTGGGTACCCCAGACTTGAAAGCATCCCAAGATTTCCTTTCCCTTTCTGCTGCCAGAGAGGACTGTTTTTGTTTTGTAGGAACACTCGGTGTGAACGTTTTCAGTTCATTCTTTATCCACAAGTTTCCAGAGCGCAGGGAAGGGAGCGACTGCCGTGGGATGCAGCCAGGGATGGGCTAAGGCAGAGCCAACAGGCTTCTCTATTAAGAAATGCTCCTGTTTTGAATTAAAAATCTCTCCATTTCCAACAGACTCGGTCTCTCTGTCGGGCAGAAGTGCTGTGTGTGTGTCTGTGCTGGGAGCAGAGGAAACAATTAAAACATGGTTTAGCTCCCAGTGTAATTGTGGCTCTGGAACAGCACAAGAGTCTCTAACAAGCAACGAGGCTTCAGTGGCCAGAAAATGCAGGCAGGGAATTCGAGATTATTTCTCACAGTCCACCCCGTTCTTACCTTTTCCATGTGGCTGCTGCTTCTTTTTTTTTAGTGAGGGAAAAAGTATTATCAGCTCAGGACCCAAATACAGAGATGAAAGGGCAGAATTTTGCAATGTTTGCCACTCTCTGTTCCTTTTTTTGTTATCTGACTGTTTATAATAAACAACACATTTATGTAATTTAATCTCCATATGTGCTTTGCACTTTCTAAGTCACTGTACTCCTTTAAATAAGCCTCTAAATTTTCCATGGGAAGAATCACAGAATCTGGATATAAAGATTTATTTTCTGCTTGACACAGTACACCTTCTGACTAAACTTAGATAAACTTCTTGGTAGTATCTTTTGCTGAATATCTGCTTTTCCACACTACAAAGTCTTGAGTTGACAGCAAAATCAATTTGCTATCCCTGCTATGACATGAAATCTAAGGCTTTATTTCATTTATTGGATGCTCCACCCATGTTATTATTATTTATTGGATGCCCCATCCCTAGAAGTGTCCAAGGCCAGGTTGGACAGGGCTTGGAGCAACCTGGGCTAGTGGAAGGTGTCCCTGCCCATGGCAGGGGGTGGGACTGGATAAACTTTAAGATCCTTTCCAACCCAAACCATCCTGGGATTCTGTCATTTCAGACAAGTGTTAATGATTATATAATATTGTTAAAATTTTTATATACTAATGCATTGGGGTTTTTTATATATATATTAATAATAATTCAGACATGCAACTGTTTTTCCCCTGGTTCCTACTAAAGGGCTGTAATTTGTCTTATTTGAGATTTTTTTTCCCCTTCTTTGATTTCTCCCCTTGTACACGTGGAAAACATCAGACCTAAAAACCCAATTTACCAATATCCCAGGACTAAAGCACACTGGTGCTGTCACTGCCTGGTCAGCCCTTCGGATTTTGGGAAAGAGCTAGGAAAGCAAACAGGAGCATGAAAAAGGCACAGAAACGTGTTTCTACGTGTAACAGATAATTCTTTTGAGTGTGATCCTTCTTTTGAATGTGATCCTTCTTTTGAAATCGTTTCCCTTGCAGCAAACAGGCAAACGAGGAGCCATTTTTCTGCATTAAAACCACAGGATTGCTCAATTATCCCTCACACAACGGTGGCAGCGCCGGCATCGATGCCCAGGTGGTTTTGCAGGAGCCAAAGTCTCCTCTGATACAGGTAATTATGTTAACTAATATTTCTGGGAAGCGGTGGCCAAGAGCAGGAACAGCCTAGTGCTCCAAAAATCGAAGTTTTGCCTCCATAATTGGGGCAAAGGGCTCTGCAGGGAGATTACAGCTGTAACCAGTGGAACTGGCTGCAGAATCTCTCGAGTCAGGCCCCTTTATCAGCAGAAAAAGCCACTTCCTTGCCCTGTGTCCGCAGGATAATTGACAGGCAACGCTGATGAACAAGGCTGGAATCCTCCAGGCTGCTTCTACCACAGTCCCTTCTACACCTGAAGGGTACAAGACAGTGCTCAGGTCACCCAGAAGCTTTTGGAATGTTTGTAACCTCCCAGCTGAGCTTCACAAAAGCCCTGGTAGCAAAAGTCCTTCCGTTTGGGGCAGGAAAACGTTCTCCCCTCTTTGCAACTGCATCAATTGAAGCAAGAAGAGCACTGTGTGGTGATTTTAGATTGGATAAATCCCAGCAAATATGCTTCCATTGCTGATTGAAATAAAAATCAGCTAAACAGGATGTGCTGATAAACACTGAGCACCAGCCAAACCCTCACTATTGCTTTGCATAAGCCCATACAAATAATTTTAAAATAAACACCTGGCAAGCTCCCAGCTTGTACCAACCTCCTTCCACAACTCATGGAAATGGGACTGTCTGGAAAGCACAGTGCTGGATTTTAGGGTTTGCTTGTGTGGGGCGTGAATTATTTGAATCAGACCCATTAGTTTTGGTTTCTGAGGTTCCTGAGCAGTCAGACATCAACACCTCCATTGTCCCCACGTCAGGTGATCGCTGCAGGGATGTTTGACTTCACACTCAGACCACAACAGAGCAGAGTTGAACTGCCAAGGGCAGGGACAGTCAAGTTGAACTGCCAAGAGCAGGGACAGGCGTGTGCTGGGAGCCAGAGGGAGATCCCAGAGGGGCAAACCAGGTCAGATTCCCGGTGGCTTTCTGAAAATCCAAACCATTAGATCCTCCAGGGGGGTGAAGCCCTGGCCTCACCCAAGTGTTCAGCCCCTGGGATAAGGGAGGCTGGATCTGTGCCCCTTCCTTGAAGCAATGTCACAAGTGCCACCCTTTGGCACTGCTGGCAGGGAGCTCCAGCGAGTGTAAACTGAGCTGCTGGCTGATTCAGATCAGGAGAAATGTCAAGCAAGGCTCACACAGTGCTAAAAAAAGCCATTGGGAAGTAGGACCTCATCCCCAAGATCGAGCCCGAGGTGGGACAGAGCAGCCACCAGCTGAGGCTCCTGCACAGAGGGCACTGTCCTCAGTCAGGAAGGGAGAGTAAAGCTGAGCTTCCAGGGAGGAGCAGGCAGGACCCTCGGGGGTGTTTCCATGGTCAGCTCAGAGCTGTGCTTGGAGAGGAGGAAGAGCTGGAGAGGAGGAAGGGGTGCCCTGCACCCAGCTCCCCTGGGGACCTTCTCCCACGTGGGTGCCGAGCCACCCCGGCGGAGCGACGGGAGAGAAAACACGTGGGACAAAGGCACATAACCCAGTTTTGGGGCCGCTGGGAACACACACCTGGCCGGGGCCGAGCTCAGCGGGGCTGGGAGCCGAGCGATTCCCAGCGGAGCAGCAGGGACTGGGATCCAGCAGCCCCAGCACCGCCCGCAGGCAAAGCAGCACCTTGTGGCCCCGTGATGTCACCCAGGTCCCCGTGCTCGTGTAAACGGGGCTGGAGTGGGGCAGAGGGACTCGGCACTTCCTCCTGAGCCGGGCTGCGCTGAGCTGGGCTCTGCCTGCAAGGTAAGGCTGCTTTTAAACTCTCTCCTTGGATCTAGAACCACCTCAGTGCGCCCCGTTGCTGCTCCCTGCAAAATCCTCCCTCTCCTCCTGCTTTTGCTTGGGGATTGGCTCTTGACAGGAGCAGATTTGTGGCACTTTGAGTCTTGCAACAGCAGCAGCCGCTGTCCTGGTGTGGCAACCCTCTGTGTGAACACATGGAGGAGTTGAAACAGCGGCTGCTGGCGCTGGAGAAAGCAAAATGTTAAGCGTGGGCAATTAGAGGTGCTCCAACTCTCCTCCAGCATCATTACTAGGCACAGTTACAATTTCCTTCTCTTGCCTGATTTTTCGGGGAATATATTGTATTTAGAAGTCATTCTCTGCAATAAGAGCAACTTGCAAATCTGTTTTTTCCAATGGTGATTTGTATTGCCATAAAAAAACCTATGGGCTGCCTGTTTTGTGCCACCCAACCCTCTGTGACTGAGCTGCAGCAGGAGGAAATTATTAATAGTCAGGGGACACAATATGACAAAAATAGCAAGATTGCTTGGACAGGCATTTGTTAATGAGAATCCTGAGGTGGTTTTAATTCATAATTCAAACTGCAGTCACTGCTCTGGATTAAACCTTAACTTAAAGGACTGAAGTTTTCAGCTGTAATTTGTAAAAGGTGTTTTTTTGCAGTTTTTGGTTTCACTTGCACCAGCAGCTCAGCTCTGCTGGGAGCCCAGCAAAGCAGCACGTGTGGGTTTGGTGCTCACAGACAGGATTTGTGCTGGGTGGCCCCTGAGTGTGACATTTCTTCAAGTGAATGGAGAGGGAATCCCAGGGAATGGGGGTCAGGATGTCAGACTGCAGGAGAGGGTTCCTCAGCAGGCTGGAGCAGGAGCCGTGCAGGGAAAGCGGGATTTTGGTTCTAGGACATGTTTTTCAGTGTCAAGTGAAAGTGCTGTGACTTTGGCTCCGGTGCCAAGATCCCCAGCCACGGGAATTCCATCCATGATGCAAATCCCTGCATGGGACAGCCCTTGCCCTGTCTGGGAGGAGCTGCAGCTGCTGCTGCAGGAGGGAGAGTTGTACCGGTGCTGCAAAATGAAAATTTCTCAGAAAACCCAGATCTGCTCTTTTTCTGTGAAGAAAAAGTCCCTTTAACTGCTGAATGTTCCACTCCGAGGGCAGAGGTTTCGCCTCGTTGCAAGTGCAGTGGGTCAGTCACAGCCCTGCTGGGAGGGCAGAGACGTTTGTGTCCTCATCATATCCATCAACCTCTCTGCTCATGGGCTTCTCAGAAAGATCCAGCACTCTGGAATGACATTCCTGTGCTTCTCAGTCCTTTCCAGAGGAACACCTTTTTCCTAGAAATGCCATGGTTATTTTCCAAAGATCCAGCAATAACACGCACACTTATTGTGTCCTTTCTGCAACAGCCTCAGAAATACAGACTAACAAAAATGTAAAAAATAGTAGTTAGATCACAGCGTATTTGTTTATCACTAATTATTTTTTTTAAATTTCATATTCTGAGAGCCATGTTGCAGTAGGAGCTGTCTCTGCAACATGTAAATCAACACTGATAAAATCTGATGGAACTTAGCCTTCTACAGCCTTTACTGCACGCACACATCATGCAGAGAAGGACTTTGCTTTCTTGACAGCTTTGGAAACCTCATTTTAAGGCACTTAGTGGTATTTCTGTGTGTCTGCTTTTGTGCACAGGTGGGAGGATAAGGGGATGGTGTGGGATTGAGCTTCAGTCTCAGCAGAAGTGGAAGGAAGGGCAGAAACGCAGTAATTTTGTGGTCCTCTGTGCATATGTCTGGGAGCATTTTGTTTAAAGAGATGGTTTAATCTGGTTATATTTTTATGGCTTTGTGGTGAAGTCGTTCATGCTCAGGCTGATGAGCCAGCAGACACCACCCCTGTGTGCACTAATTGTGTTAATGCCTTAGCTCTGCCAGCCAGGTCACCCTGCTCAGCCCCTTCCCTTCAGTGGCCTGACCCCTAGTTCCCTGGATGCAGAGAGGGATTTTCTGACTCTCCCTCTCTACGTTATATTTGCTTGGGGTGGTGGGGCTGGGACATCACCTGCATTCCCACAGAGTGGGTTTTATAACCTCTTGGCTCCAAGGTTCACCTGAGCTCTGTGGTCTCCATCAAAGTGCAGCTTTCCAGGACTCTTCTACCTGTAAATAGAATCACAGAATCGTTTAGGTTGGAAAAGACCTGTATGATCATCAGCAGAGATGACACCAGCAATGGGACCACTCCTGGGTGCATTTTTCCCCTAATATCAGATATTCAGCAACACAAGATATTTTCAATTTGGTGTCACTCTAGAAGATAACAACACTCACACCACCACCTCTGCCACTCAGACAGCACTTGGGGGTTAGAAGTGTAGCTTAAAGAGGGCAGAGAAATGAAATCTTGATTAACTCTGACACCTTGTGGACAATTAGCAGAAGGAGGTGGGAGCTGGATGAGGGGGAGCCTCCCCACGCTGTGGGGTGTGCTCAGCCCTGGGCTGCTCCCTGTGCCTGGGCATGGTTTGCTGCCAGCAGAGAGTGATGGCTGAGCTCTGGTGTCACCCTCGTGTCACAGAAACACATCCTGGACACGCTGGTTTACCCCAAACAGCCCATTCAGAGCCCAGTTTGAGTCAGCACCAACCCCCCGATCGCTGGCGCTGCGCTCTGGTCACACGGGATGTAAATAAGGACTAACTGTAGCTGAGGACCTCAGTGAGCAACTGGCTGATGTGACTCACTGGAGTGAAGAACATGCACCCATGGCCAGCATTTAAATATAAACCTGGCCTTAAAATACAGCATTTTGCAAATGTCTCTAATCCTCCGTGGTTTCAGTGGCCATCGAGCTGTTGGGTTTGGAGGAGCACCAGCCAGTCAGTCACACCTCGACATCCAAGGGAAAGCAGGCAGATAATGACACTGAAAATGGCTCTTTAATGGCTTCTTAGCAAAGTGGGAGATCACCTGAAGGGACAGTAGTTGGGTGTGGAGAGCAGTGCTCTTACCAGAGAAAGGGCAGCAGATGGCCACATCCAGCTGGAGCTGCAAAACCAGATGGAAATGCAACATCCTGAGCCCCAGAAATTCTCAGCACTGCCAGGAAATGGGATGTAACCCACATGTACTGTTCTGAGAAGCAACAGCCTGAGGGAACACCCCAGTGCTCAGCTCCATGCCCTGCCACTCCCTGTCTCAGTGTCCTGAACACCAGGACGGAGAGTGGGAGGCCTCCAGTGCTGCTTCTCAGAGTGGTGGAGACAAATCCATGAGCCAGCTGCATCTTTCCACTGTGTTTCCAGCACCATTTGAGCCTCTTCCCTCTTCATGGGCGTGTTATGGTGTGAGAGGAGCAAGGCTGTGGTGTCCTGGGATGGGGCAGCTGGGGAACATGAACATCTTGTCCCAGAGCTGCCTTGTGGGGAGGGTTATTGGGAATGAACTGGAGGGATAAAACCAGCTCTGAGGCCTCCAGCAGTTGCGCCATCTTGGAGGAGGAAGGGGACTAGACAGAGAGTTTCTCAACTGCAGCACTTCTGAGATGTTTGGTGCAGCTGAAGGCGCAGGATATAAACGTGCAGACCTTGCTTTTTGAAGGCATGAAAGATAGGTTGAAAAAAAAAAAGCAAGAATCTGCCTGGGGAGCCCACAGGAGCAGTGTCACTGTTGGTATCAGCCAGAGCCAGGGCACCCATGGTGAGGGTGGCTGTGTCCCATGGGGACCTTGACATCTCTGGGCTTTCTGGGGCCTGAATCCCAACCCTTCCATGGCAGCCTGGAGCAGTGTCTGTATGAGCTGCCAAATCCAAGCACTTCAATGACTAACAACCTGAAAAAGCAGCTACTGGTGTTCTGTGTCGCTGAGAGCTCCAAACTCAACCCTTTTTTTGTAGCATGAAGGAAAAAAACCTTAGTAACGGGGTAGGAGTTAATAATATGTACCTACAGAGACAGTTCTTCTGGCAAATGCCCCTTGCCAGTGGTGCAGGAAATGAGTCAGAAGCAGTGAATCAGTGTCTGCAGTGCCACATGAAATAGGAAGCTGATATTCAGTTTTAACCGTTATATTAACACAGGAGGGAATCACTGTAATGAGAATTATAACCCTGGCGGGAAAACCCCGGCAAAACCAAACTCCTCCTGCCTGTGTTGCCTTCCTGAAAACAAGTTACACAACTTACTGGTCCCAGTTCCAAAAGCTGACAAGACAAAGGTGGCCCAACAGTTCAACACAGGGTGTTTCACCAACACAGTTGTACCCAACAGAGCCCAGCATACACCTTAAAGTGTCCAGGGCCAGGTTGGACAGGGCTTGGAGCAACCTGGTCTAGTGAAAGGTCTCCCTGCCCTTGGTAGGGAGCTGGAATGAGATGGCCTTTAAGGTCCCTTCCAACCCAAATCATTCCATGATTCCATGACTCAGTGGTTGTCACCCACATTTTGATCACTGGGCAGTGTGATTGCTCACATACAGAGGTTGGGCTATGGGCCACCTTTCGCCCCTGATACCCAGAGACCTAACCACAGGTGACCTCGAGGAGGTGGCCAAAAGGACAGGTAGCTTCTCATGCTGCTCTATGACCAGTATAGTACAGCTTCACCCGTGCTTGCGGGACTGACACACCAGGAATGGTTCCCAGTTCTGTGGGAACAGTGGGACCTCTGGAAGGGCAGCTTTGAAGAAGGCAGCAGAATGCCTTATACAGACAACAATTCCAAACCTCTACTTTGCACTGAACAGTCAAACAAGAAAGGCAAACATGAACATTGACACCTCCCTCAGTGCCTTTGCCTTTACATCCCATTTTTGTTCCTGACAGGAATGACCCACCTGCCTCACACCACCACAGACACTTCCAGCAGCCCAGTCATGATCCAGAGCAACCAGTCCTGCTCCAGTGACAACATCACGTTCAAGTCCACCCTGTACGCCACCACCTACACCCTCATCTTCATCCCCGGGCTCCTGGCCAACAGCGCTGCCCTGTGGGTCCTGTGCCGCTTCATCAGCAGGAAGAGCAAAGCCATCATCTTCATGATCAACCTGGCCGTGGCTGACCTGGCCCACGTGCTCTCGCTGCCCCTGAGAATATACTACTACATCAACCACACCTGGCCTTTTGGGAGCTTCCTCTGCCTGCTGTGCTTCTACCTGAAGTACCTCAACATGTACGCCAGCATCTGCTTCCTCACCTGCATCAGCATCCAGCGCTACTTCTTCCTGTACCAGCCCTTCAGGGCCAAGGACTGGAAGCGGCGCTACGACGTGGCCATCAGCGCCGTGGTCTGGCTGTTCGTGGGGGTGGCCTGCCTGCCCTTCCCCATCATGAGGGGCTACGGGCTGGCCAACAACAGCCACACCTGCTTCGCCGACCTCCAGGTGCTGCCCCTAAAAAGCAGCGTGACCACGGTGCTGATGACGGGCATGGCCGAGCTCTTCGGCTTCGTGGGCCCACTCGTCATCATCTTGTTCTGCACCTGGAAGACAAAGAACTCTCTCCGGGGCTTCCACGTCCCACAGGAGAACAGCGGCGAGAGGCGCAAGGCCCAGAGGATGGTTTCCATGTGTGCTGTGGTGTTCTGCGTGTGTTTTGCCCCCTACCACATCAACTTCTTCTTCTACATGTTGGTGAAAGAGAACGTCATCACCGACTGCTTCCTGAGCACCATCACGCTCTACACACAACCCTTCTGCTTGAGCCTCGCCAGCCTGGACTGCTGCCTGGATCCCATCATCTATTTCTTCATGACTTCAGAGTTCCAGGACCAGATAACCAGGCACAGCAGCATGGTCATCAGGAGCCGGCTCATGAGCAAGGAGAGCGGCTCGTCAGTCAAGGAGTGACAGGAAAGCCAGCTGAAAAAAACTCAGATATTTCATAGGAGATCTGGGACTGTTCTGGGATACTCAATTACCAACTCCGTTGTGGAAGATCCTGCCAGTGCAGGGGAGTTTTGTGGCAGTGAAAATCTTTGATACACAGAAGATAAAACTCTGTCTATGACTGGTGTGTTGGAATCTGATGAGAGACCCAGCTGGCGGGACCCTTCCCACCCCTGGGCCACCCACGCCTGACCTGGCTGGACTAGAAAACATAGAGGAGGGAGAGACAAAGCTTTTGCTAGGAAGTGGTGGAAAAGTCCCAGGGGCTTTTCTTCTATTTTCCCAGCTCCATGGCTCTAGGATGAAGCCAAAGACAATCCCACATCCATACACTGACATCTGCTGAAGTGTCTTCTCTGGTAAAACCACACAAGAACATAAAAATGGCCAGTAATCATAAGAGAGAACTGGGGCTGTGGACAGGTGGAGGTGTTGAACTGGCTCCAGCCCACTCCTGGCTTTGTGTGCATCCCACTGCTCACCACCTCTGCTTCACCCTTCCCACACTCACCTTCCCACTCCCCTCCTCCATTTCCTCCTCATCCACCTCTGTTTGCTCCTTAATTGCTGACACATCCTATAACTTGCACATACAGCTGGTGCAAGATCCCCTGAAAGACAAGTCTCCTCCAGCACCCCAGAGAGTGGCACCTTCCCTTGCTCCAAGTGACTTTCTTCCCCTGTTGGCAAGGGGGGCATCAGGACATGTTCTTCACCTTTGGACCCCAGGGGCAGGACCACGGTGGTCCTGCCATTCGTGCAGGTGGATTTATTGATGGTGGTGGTACCACTCAGGTCCTCACTCTCTTCTGTGTGGGGCATCTTGGGCCAGAGGTGCCTGAGGTGAATCTGCCTCATAAAACCTCAGCTCAACGGGTTCAATTGATGCAGCTTTTTAAAAAAGAGGTCCTTGCCAAGGTGATTCCACTAACAGAGCACAGCCTAAGTTCATAAATTATTGTGGGTTTTTTCCACCAGCTCCTGTCATGATCCTAATGTTTACATTTTTATGTAGCTGTGCAAAGCAGTGACAAGGGGGGATGTCATTTACCCCTTACATTAAATTAGTAACAGTGTGATACCTGGGAGTTGATTTGGCTGAACACAGGCACCGATTTATTGCCTTTGAAAACTTGTATATTTTCAAGAGAATGTGTACAATTTGTACAATGTACAACCTTGCAACAGAAAATATCTCACATGTTGCTACAAAACCAGCAGAACGACCAGAAACACTTGCTAAGTGTATTTTAAACCTTACCACTCAATTCCACTGAGTCACATTTTAACTCAGCCAAATATTTTCTGTATATTATGTTTTCCCACTTCTCTGTTTTACAAAACAAATGGGGGAAAGCAAACAGTAGCCAGGTTTAAACAACCCTTTCACTGGAGTTGCTCTAAAAGGTGCTGGCACACTGACTAAGCACAATAAGCTCCCATAGTTCTCCTCCCACGTGTGAGAAGATGATTGTGGGCTGCAGTAGCATAAACTGGATCCTGCACTGGGGTTGATGGAAATGTTTTCTGTGAGGTAACTGGCAGTTTGGGATGCCAGTGACACCCAGAATTGTTCACACACTGCAAGTAGTCCCTTCACAAAGGGGTTGATGCTCAGGTACAGAGTTAACCAGAATAAAATTGTTCTCAATTCAGCAGTTTCTCATAAGCTACACTCTGTATGACATTGTCAGTGAAGGAGACTTCAGTTTTGATGGTTGTTTTGAGGGTTTTTATAGACTTTGCTCGGATGGCACGTGACTGGGAGCTGTTTCCTGTCATTTCTTTCTCGTACGATCCTCCCTTGATCAGGTGAAAACAAGTCAAAGGCACCGTTACGGGAACTGTGTAGCTTGTTCTATGTTTTTCTTCCCAGGAACTGATGCTTTAAAAAATAAACTCAGTTTTGCAAACATCAGCTGCATTTCGTGGTTACAACTGGTATCTGGAAAACTCTGTGGGATCAGCTCCTCCTTGGAAAGAGGAGTTCAAATGATGGAGCACATCAACTTCTATAGATTTCTTGCTTGTCCGCAGAGAGGTTTTCACTCTCACTAGTGTTTGTTTATTTATTTATTTAAATCTACTTAGAAGCTCCTCACTTCCAACCACTTGAGTCATGTCACTGTGACGTGCAGGTGACCAGACAACTTGGTCTGAAGGTCTCTTGTGGTGTGTGGGGGAGTGCCCTGGTTTGGGCTGACCCTGTTCAGCTGCCAGATGGGGTTAAACCACGATAGAAAGTCAGCCAGGATGGTCATGAGGGTGAACTGGCCTAGAGAGCAACAATTCGAAGCAAAAAGAAGTCAAGGAGAACTTGGAGTTTTCTGAAAGCACCTAAAAAAGCAAGGATGATCAGTTTGGCCTCCACAAACCCAGCTGTGAAATGCAAAGGTTAGTTCAGGTTCTCCAAGGCCTCAGTGTGTGTCTCAAGAGAAGAACAGACAAATCCAGAGTTCTGTTGAGGAGAACAGTATTTCAGTTGCCCTCAGGGCTGGTTGGGGCTTGATCTGACACAGGACCTGAGCTGCAGGTGCTGGTTTATCTGCCAGTGCTCTCAAACATTCAAAGGCACAACATGCCCTGCTCCAGTTCCTGTAATTCACCCCATTTCCTGTGACCAGAAAACATGTTTATTATTTTGACAAGAGGAAACACAATTTCATGATGTTGCTCCTGGATTATCTCTTGTGCTGGTCCCACTGCCCAGACTCACCAGCTATAAAAAGGCATCTTCATCTTTCTTGGGCAGACACCAAAAAAGTGTTTCAACAGAGATGCCACAGAAAGGCAGAATTTAACCAGATCAAAAGGTTGGGAACAGCACAATGCCAGGAATGTGAAGGGTGGATCTGAAGGGCTCGTGGTGCTTGAACATCTTTGTGTCCAGACTGATCCTGAAGGGAACTGCTCAAGGTGGAAACATGGTGAGGTCTCCAAGCCACCTGCACTGACACAGTGCACGTCCCTATGGCACAACCCTGGGCAAAACCACAGCATGACCTGTTCTTTTCCTCTAGAACACGAGCCATTCACCTGTCAGCAAAAGAAAATGTGTTTTCTGCAGTGCCACCCCATTTTAACTGGTATCAGAGGTCTGGTATCTCCTCTCCTGCTTGAAAGAGCCCTCCTGTGCACGACAGCAAATGTTTTTGGGAAGAATCCCTGTGGGATTTAATGCCTTTCTGCAGCCTCAGGTTCTGAGCTGCAGGATCTCGTGAGCACCCCAGCTTCATTTGCTTCCCTTAAATGAAATTACTACCCCTCTGCACAGAGAAAAAACAAAATATACTGCAAATGCAGGATAACAGCTCAACAACCCAAAAACATGAAACTGCTTCATTTCATTGAAAAGATTTTGGGGATGACTGGTGCACTTTAACCAAAAATGCTGGTTTGTGGATTGGACGAGGGCTTAGCCCAAAAAGTAAGGGAGTGATTGACAATTATTTGCTGCACAAATAAATCCAACCTTCCCCAAAATGCTGCCCCTGTAGAGAGAACTGGGCAGGGCTGAGGGGGACTCACCAGCCCCACGGGCCACGTGCCAATGGCTCAGCTCAGCCCACAGCAAGTCTGCACAAGGGTGAGCTGCTTTGTGTGAACAAACCCTCCTCCTCCCCTTGTTTTTCATACATCCTTCAGGTGCATCCTGTCAGATATTCTCAGTGCTGAGCGCTTGAGAGGTGCTGATCATCTGCATTTGGCCTCCTGCCCACAGGATACCGGGCTACAGGCAGAGACAACCTTCATCTGGAGGCCTTAGGGAAAGTCTCCCAGTTATTTAAAAATTCCTTTGTGCCTTCTGCCTTTGAAAGGAGGACACTGCCAAGTGTAAAATGCATGTTGACATCAGTAATGAGCCAGAAATCCAAACGCTACCCAAAAACGTGCTCTCAGTTGAAAGAAGAACAGAGAGGTTGAGTGGTGTGTGTTGAAGGAGGAGGCTTGATGTCAATCTATCAGCATTTCATGGCCAGGAACATTGTGATCTTCTCCAAAAGTTCTCCAAAAATCCAAGAAGCAGAGGAAGGACTCGGCGTGGTTACAAACCCCTCGCTATGGTCCGACATCCCCCGACCTCTCCTTCCCCAGCTGTAAACAACCAGCTAAAAATAGGGCTCAGGGATGGCTGGATGAGCTGCTGGGGACACAGAAGTAGGATGTCCCAGGCAGGATATCCTGATAAAACAGCCACTTTGCTTTGAGATTAACCTCTGACCGCTGGGGAGGGACGGGCGCAGTGCCAGCCTCCCTGCTGGGATCTGGGAATGCTTCCCAAATACACGAACTCTGCTCCTTCTTCCAGGGATCAACATCAGCTGCTGCAAAAGATGCCCAGGAAGAAAACCTGGAATGATTTGCATCTTCCAAATCCCTTTGCTGTCAGTGGAGATGACAAGTGTGGGGCTTCAGGTTGCCCAGAGGAGTGGATGCCCCATCCCTGTAAGTGTCCAAGGCCAGGTTGGACGGGGCTTGGAGCAACCTGGGCTGGTGGAAGCTGTCCCTGCCCATGGCAGGGGGTGGGAATGAGATGGTCCTTAAAGTCCCAATGCAAACCATTCCAGGATTCCATGATTTCCTTGCTGAGAGAAACCTGGCAGCTGAGTGGGTGGCAGAGCTGATGGATTTTGGTGCACCCTCGATCCCAGACCCTGAACTGGGAACTAAAGGTTCCTTCTTTCATTTCTCTTCCACAGCTCTGTTCCCGTTAACTTCGAGGGGTCATAGAACCAGTTACAGAAAATTGATGAATAGAGCAAGAATGGTTCTATTTATACTTTACCTAGAACTAGAAAAGGAAAGATGCCAGCAGCCAGATAATCCATAGAGCTCTGGGCTGTGAGATGTGACCCTGGATATCGGGTAAAACTGTTCAGCTGGAAATGAGGCACCTCAGAAGTTACACCACAGAATGTATATGCCTGCAGTGCTCAGCAATGCAGAAAGCTGGTCATGCTCAGCAGGCAGTAAAAGAACTAAAATATATATATATATATGCATATAGAAAGGAAAGGAATTAAAGGAGGCAAAAAGAAAAAAAATTGGGAATGATGCGCATTATGAGTTTTTTTTATACAACGATATTTTGGGAAAATCTCCACCTTAAACCATGCTATTATTTCAGGAATAAAGTCCAAACCCTTTAGCCTGTAGCCTTGATAGTCTGAGGCTAACCAAGCTTCCAAGAAAATGAAGGAAAATTACTCCCTTCCAGTAACTTACACTGGCAGAGAGTTCAGTTTTCCTTCAGCGAGCCCTTATTGGAAGGTTGGTGCTTCTGTATTTTATAGCTTTTAGCAGACCAATGGCAAGTGCCTGTGGAGAGGAGCAGGAGCAGGAGCAGGAGCAGCTCAAGGGGAGAGCACCATCACCTCCCAAAACTCCTGTGCCGAAAGAGGGACAGAAATCCATGGTCTCCATCCCACGGCACTTGGACCAAACGACGTCATCGCCTTCCCAGCGGCTTTAACGTCATTAAGCTGCACACGTTTTGTGGGAGAAGAGAAACAAAATACAGGATTTCCTGTTCTGCAGCCACTGGACCAGGCTGCAGATGCCGGCAGGATTCCAGCCCTCCGAAAACATGTGGAAGTTAAACGAGGAGCCGCTGGGATGGCTGAGGAGCTCGGTGGGCAATAAAAGCCGGGCGCTCGCTGCTCGTGCTCTCTAGCATGGCTGTGCCCCCCCTGGGGCATGGCAGGCACGGGAAGGTGAGTGGCATTTCTGTCTTTTCCTCAGTAGAACGAAGCTGGGGCGGTTTGCAGCGATGGGGTTGCTTTTTTTAGCTCCTCAAGAGACGGTATAGGGCAGAGCCGGGCGACGTCCTGTGCCCGTGCCACAAGTGTCTCGCTCAGCTGCCGAGGTGGGTGAGCACAGTGGGTGCATGGGGCAGGCTGCTGTGGGGGGCAGGACGTGAGGAAAGCCTCTTTGATCCCAAATCTCTCAATTTAATCCCAAACATCTCTATTTGATTCCAAACCCCTCAGTTTTGCCCTCACTGACAGAGGCTGCCGTAACTGCCCAGCTCTGTTTACGCGTTTCCTATTAGTGCCGAGATTAAACAAACAAAATCATTGCTTGCAACGTCAGTGCCAGAAAACTCCACCGCTTAAACCAGGAGCTTTTTTCAAGCCAAAAGTGGATTTAGTTTTTCTCCCAAGCCTGCTTTTCTCTCCAGCATCCCAGCATTGAAGGGAGGCAGCTCTGCCCCCGTCCTCTACCTCTGGGGCTCTCCCCAGCCATGCCTGGAGTTCAGCTTTAGCCTGGACTGGCCAACCAGCCCATGGAAAAGATGAGGATGAGTTTGCCAATGAATTGGGAGCAGTAAATGCAGTAATACCACCGTGGTGTGGGGCTGGGTGGGGCACAGGGTGATTCAGAGGAGCCGGGCGGTTTCCAGCAGTGACAGCCACACAACGCCTCCAGGAACAGATACTGCTCCAAAACACTCTGAAAATGAACCCAGAGCTGCCTTGGCCTCCTAATTAATTGCTAAGGTGCTTGATGTTTAATGAATTGTGGTGCTGCATCCACAACCAGGAGTCTGACTCCTTGGGCAGTGATACCGATCTCCCCTCTGGAATTGCAGCTGGATAAAACTCGGCTTTGACACTTAAAGAAGTGGCTTCAGCCCATGAATAAAGCCATGTGTGGATGAAATAGGGAAAATAATCAAGGAAAAGCAGGGAGGCTCCTGTCCAAGATTTATAAAGTTGCTGAACAAAACTCCAGCCAAAGGCCACAGGAGCATCTCTGTCCTGACACCAACGGCAAAGCAGGGGGAGCTGGAGGGGCTTTGGGCAAAGGGAAAACTGGAAAACAATAATAAGTTTTAAAATCCACCCTCCCAGGAATTGTTGTAATGAACAAGCCTGGCCTGACCCCAGGGCAGGGTGGAGATCTCTCCTGCTTTCCTGCCAGTGCCCTCAGAATCGCTGCCACCCAACAGTGTGTGACACCCGACCCTCCTGCCAAGGCACAGACACTCCTGTGCTCCCAGGGAAAGCCAAAACATGGAGAAAAACAGCAAGGAGGCTCCTCATGGACTAGGTTTAGGATTTGGGCTGAGACACAGCAGGGAGGAGATGGCAGGACAGGGATGCTGGTGCTCTGTAATCCTTTCTATGTGCCCACACCAACAAGTGCCACCCCATCACTGGACAACTGTGACAAAAGCTGCTCTCTGGCAGTTTTCCCTACCTATTTTCTGCAGGGATGTGAAGACAAGGTGTCCTGCCACCACTTTGCCAGGGTTAAACAGAGTCAGTGCAAAGGGCACTGCCCTGCACAAGCCCCTTGTGGGTTTTGAGGCAGGCGAGGAACAAACATAGAGATATTATGGGGAAGAAAAGGGTTTGTTTCCCACTGTCCCCTCATGACAGATGCCCCCTCTCCTGCCTTTCCCAATTCAGTGGAGCAATCAGAAACCTCTGACACAGTCAGCAGCCAAAAAGTGCCCTCACCCAGCAGCCTCAGTTCCACTTCAACCTTGCTATTTTCTGCAGCCAAGCCCTGAAAAAAATAAGGAAAAGGAAGAAGGCAGTTTGGGAAGGGCTCAATTTGGAAAGCAGGGTGTGAGCATCAACCCTCCTTGCAGCACAGCAGGGTGGTGAGCAGCCAGCAGAGAGGCTGGGGCTATACCTGATGTATTTATCTGTATATAAATATATGAAATATGTATTTTCTCCTGAAACTGAAGTCATGGTAACCCCAGTGAAGAGCTGCCCAGCTGAGGAGGAGCATGGAGGAAGAGCCTTCACCCTGTGCCCCAAAGCAGCACTGGTCACCACTGTGGGTGATTCATTCTTGGAAATCCATCCTGGGGTGAACACCAGGCTCAGGGCTGTGGGAAACAGCACCATGGCAGCTTCTTAATTAATTACCAGTGCTGAGGGGTCAGTGACAGTGACAGGAGGAGCTGAGGGCTCTGCCAGACCCAGCTCCAGGCAGCACAGGCTGCCCACAGGCTGCTTCCCAGGGGAAAATCTGTTTGTTACAGATGATGCTCCAGCTCCTTGATTTGTGATGTGCTGCTGCCAAATCACCTCTTCCTGAAAGAGCAGATTGTTTCCCATGGGCTCTGCTCAGGAATGGCAAAATCCATCACCTCTCCAGAGAGCACCTGTGAACTCTCCATGACCCACCGATCCCCCCTCAGCACTGGCTGGGTGAGGTGGGCTGGGCAAATGGATGAAAAGAATTTCTGCTTTAACTTGAAGGGAGATGTATTTATCTTCCTGCATGTCCTGAGCAGTTACTGAAGGATAATTCCTGTTGCTGCAGCACGATGCCTGTACAATGTGCTGGGAGTGCTGGAATTGAGTTAGCAGGACCAGCAGAGCAGCTGGCGTGTGTTGGGCCAGTTATTAGTTTATAAATCCAGCCTTAAATCTGGAGCCAGAGCTGATAGATCTGTCTGCACCTCTCCCACTGGCCTCTGCTCCAGCTGCCTGCCAGCACCAGCCTTTGCAGATGTTAATTATTCCCTCTGCTGCTGATTCACATCAGATTTCTGCAAGGATCTGCAGAGACAGTGTCTAGATCCATTTAAAATCCCTGTTTATTTTCAGTCCCACCAAAATTGCCCGTAGACATATCAGAGAGCATGATTTTGACAGGAGCTGGATGGAAAATGTAATGAAATAAAGTTGGTCCTTAACAACCCTGGGGAGCTAAAGCAACTCTCTGGCATCAGCAATGAAGAGATTGATGCTGCAGAGCCCAGTGGGCTTGTCACTGTAACTGGGGCATCTCACGAGATCCTGAGGAGCACATCCAAAGGAGATGGGTGGAAGATGCCCAGGATCACTCCCTGTGAGAGGGGTCTGGCTCCACACCCTTCCCAACACACACACTGACTCACCCATACACCTACACAAAACTTATTCTTCAGTACTAAAGTGCAGCTGCCCCATGGAGAGGCTTTGGCTTTACAGCACCTTTTTACTCCCCACAGAAACCCTCCACCTGCCTTAACCACCCCATGAGCAAAGAGACTCAGCCGAGATGGAGAGCAACGTGTCCTCCGGGAACTGCACCGACCCCCAGATGTCCTTCCAGTCCACCCTGTATGCCACCACCTACACCCTCATCTTCATCCCCGGGCTCCTGGCCAACAGCGCTGCCCTGTGGGTCCTGTGCCGCTTCATCAGCAGGAAGAGCAAAGCCATCATCTTCATGATCAACCTGGCCGTGGCCGACCTGGCCCACGTGCTCTCACTGCCCCTACGGACGTATTACTACATCAACCACACCTGGCCTTTTGGGAGTTTCCTTTGCCAGGTGTGCTTCTACCTGAAGTACCTCAACATGTACGCCAGCATCTGCTTCCTCACCTGCATCAGCATCCAGCGGTACCTGTTCCTGCTGCACCCCTTCAGGGCTAAGGGCTGGAAGCGGCGCTATGACGTGGCCACCAGCGCCCTGGTCTGGCTGTTGGTGGGGGCCGCATGCCTGCCCCTCATCATCGTGAGGAGCCCGGCCCTGTCCAGCAACATCAACACCTGCTTCTCGGACCTGGGGGTGAAGCAGCTCAGCCCCGGCGCCTCCATCACGCTGGTGACGGTGGCAGAGCTCTTCGGGTTCGTCATTCCCTTCGGGATCATCGCGGGCTGCACGTGGAAGATGTGGCAGTCGCTACGGGAGGGCCCCACGCAGCTGCAGAATGCGGGCGAGAAGCAGAAGGCCCTGAGGATGGTGCTGATGTGCTCGGCCGTGTTCTTCATCTGCTTCACCCCCTACCACATCAACTTCCCCTTCTTCATGATGGTCATCGAGAACCTCATCCGGGACTGCGCCGTGCACCAGAGCACGCTGCGCTTCCACCCCATCTCCCTGTGCCTGGCCAGCCTCAACTGCTGCCTGGACCCCGTCCTCTACTACTTCATGACCTCCGAGTTCCAGGACCAGCTGCTGCGCCACGGCTGCGTCGCCCTCCGGGCCCGGCTGGCCCAGCGCCGGAGCAGCCTCTCCACTGCCGACACCGACATCCGCACCAGGAACAGGAGCTTCCCACGCTTCAGGTTTTGGTCTTTCCCCAAGTTCTTTGGCCGAATAAACAGCGTGGAAATGCCCCCTGTGCCGCCTGATGAGCTGCTGCTGGAGTCCATCTCCTGAACATCAGCAGCTCTGCCTGTGCAGGGGCTTCTTGTCGCTTGAGGACTGCATTAGGTCTCCAAACACGTTCTGAATTCCCCTTGTGTGCCACAGATGGCAGGATCTGACCCAGCAGGACATTGGGATGCCAAAAGACTTGCTGGTTGTGTTGTTGCTGCTGGGGGCTGTCACCTGACACCACTTTCCATTGGAATACTGGTAAAATCCCTCCAAAAGCTGTCAGCAGTGCCAGAGCTCCTTGTGCTGAACAACAGCAGGTTCAGATCCCTCTCATTTTGGTGTTTCAGTGCTTCTACATATTTGTCACATTTGAAAATCCTTCTGAATCCTGAGTTGTGAGCTCTGGGAGTTCCAGCTCTGAACACGGGCACTTACAGCCCATAATAACTTAGAGCATCCACCACACTCACAGGAGGCTCTGGATCAGGACAGTTCAGTATCTCCACATAAACTGAACCTCTTTCCACTACAAAAATCCACCACCCAGACCTGATCCAGGCTAATCTGGACTGCAAGACAATAACTCTACAGACATACACCAAGCAAAGATCATTAACCTACAGCCCACCAGTGTTAAAGGGAGTGTGCAAACAAACTGGGCTCAGCTCACACTACTGGGAAAGGCACCCAGAGCTCAGCAAGAGGATCCACACCTGGCTCCTGGGAGCTGCAGGGTGCTCAGCTGATGGGGGGGATGAATATTTGAAGACAAATAGTGATGGATATGCCACAAGCAAAGAGGAAGATGAAGGATGTCTCCCTGGGCACGTTTACTCACAGAAACCTGGTGTGAGCTGCAAAAGTGAGGACTCATGTTGGTGTTGCTGTTTCTTGTGTTGTTATGAGGAGTGTTGTGTTATTTGTCACCTTGCTGATGCCTGTGGTTGCAGATTCAGATGTTATCCAAACGTTCAGTTTTGCTTTGAATACCAGAAAATGCCCCAACCCTCGCTGGGTCCTGAGAAAAGTTTACAAAGCTGACCCAAGTACATCCTGAAGGCTTCAAATTCCAAGGAAATAAAATGATTCCAACACGTATTTTAGCTTCAGAAATATTACTTTAAGTGCTTGTAAATGCCCTGAGAGCAGACGTGGTACATAATAAGAATAATTATACAATTTGGGGATGGACACCCCAAATTGTGGCTCAGAGAGGTGCCATTGTCACCACAGCCCCTCACAGAGTGGCCAGTGTAGGGGCTGGGAGGTTTCCTCCTCCTGGGCCAAGGCAATGCCAAAAAACCCTTGGGGAATTAGAGAAGTAAACGTAGGAGACGGGGTTTGATAGAAAACAGCTTTTCCCATGATTGGATGCACATTTCCAAGCCATGCAGCGTTTCTGGGAACAACGAGAGGGCGGGGGTTTATCCTCACAGTGCTGAGGCTGGAGGGGGGGACCAGATGAGGAGATCCAGACAACCTGGAGGAATTTGCTTTGGTACCTACAGTGTGCCAGGGACTGGCAGCAAACCCCGGGACAGGGAGCAAACACGCTGCTCTGCGGCTCATTCTGTCCCGAATCTCCTCCTCCTCTCACAAAAAATATAAATAACAAAAGGGCATGTTTTCCTTGTTTGCCTCGGGGCAAAAAAAAACAAACAGAAAGTTTTCAGGGGTGGAAAAATGCTGTTTCAGATGGCCCAACCCAGCAGCGTGTGGAGGCAAAACAGGAAAGCCAGGAAAACCTCACCGATGCCAGGACTGGCTCCGGGCACAGACAGGACTGGTCACACCACCAACACCTTCACCAGGAGTGTGGGTTTTCCTGAGGGTGTGTTTTGGGAATGGTACAACCCTGAGCAGCTGGACTGGACATCCAGGTAGCTCTCAGTGACCACAGACAGGTATTTATAAGTCCTGCTGAGCCACAAATCCCGTATAGCGGCTCTAACCTTCCTGGCAGCACCAGCTCCGGGTTTCCCAGTAGCTCCAGTTCCCACTGGGACTTTGCCAGCTTGTTATCACGTTGCTTTGCTGACATTGCAGTGCAGCTTCCCCCTCCCAAAGAGAAAACAGGAAAGAGAAAGCAAACCAAGAACTCTCACTAATCTGTCACGTGGGAACTCGGCAGCAAACCCTTCCTGGGCTGTGGGAAATACAGCAGGAAAATCCCTTTCTGGGATAGATGCACTGGGGAACAAGGATTTTGCTGGGGTTTATGCAAACCAAACCCTGAAGGAACATTCTTTTTCAGTAGAAACTGGTTCTTCCTGCCCTTCTGGAGCCACAAGACACCTGCCAGCCTCCTGTTTTATCAGTCATAGAACCACCATGGAATAGTTTGGGTTGGGAGGAACCTTAAAGCCCAGCCAGTCCCACCCCCTGCCATGGGCAGGGACACCTTCCACTAGCCCAGGTTGCTCCAAGCCCCATCCAACCTGGCCTTGAACACTTTCAGGGATGGGGCAGCCACAGCTTCTCTGGGCAACCTGTGCCAGGGCCTCCCCACCCTCACAGGAAGAAATTCCCCCAATATCCCATCTAACCCTACACTTACATATCCCTACAGTTGTGCAGTACTTGGGAGTATCCAAGAAGACATCCCTGTGCATGACTCTTTCTAGGGCCCCACAGGGAAGGAGGGCAGTTGCTTTTCTCTCTGCTGAAATTACCTTTATCCTCCCTCCATGACCACACGCTTCCAGCCCAGCCCCAAAGTGACTTTGCCTCTGGAAAACCACTCAGCCCCAGCAGAACTCACACCCCTGAGCCAGCAGTGAGCCTCAGACTCTCCTGATTTTTGGCACCACTGCTGGCAAGGAGCAGCTTCTCCACCCACCCACCTTGTGCTGGAGAGGGGGAAGTGCTGTGCCTGGCAAAGGAACAAACACCGACACGAGCTTCAGTGCTGAGCACAACCCAAATACACAGTGAGCAAATTCTGCTGCTTCAAGCCCAGAAGAGCGGCTTTCCAAGCCAGGGAGCAGTTTTCCAGACATCCATGATTTCATCAGACCCCAATCCAATTTTGTGGTCCATGGGCTCAGCCAGCACCACCCTGCACAGCCCAAGTCACGGGGTGTGGTGGGACAGCACTCCAGGGGTGTCTGTCAGTCCCTCCTGTGCTGCAGGGTCCTTCTGGGGACACAAGGGAGGGGATTTGGGAATTCTGCCTGGACGCCATGGCCATGTTTAGCACTGTGAGGGTGCTCAGCACCCCAAGGAACAGCCAAAGCCTCGGCCCTGCCCCAGCCAAGAGGTCCCTTCCAGCAGGCGCTGCCTCAGCTCAGTCCTGCTCCTTCAACAGGGATTTTTGGTTTGTAAAGAAAGATTCCCTGCCTTAGGCAGACAGGGCAGGAAAATGCAGGGGATTTTAGCCCCAGCCCAGTGCCAGAGCTGTGGCTGCAACCCTGGCTCTGTGCAAGCCCAGCTGCACCCCCCTTTCCAGACACGCTCCTACCAGTGTGTGCCCTCCCCTGGGACATCACCAGCCACGTGGAGAGCAGACACATGACCCATTCCCAGGAATTATTGCTATTAAAGACTCTCTGCAGATCAGAAAGGGCTTGGTTGCTTCTCCCTAAGGAAATCCCACAAGGTCATGAAGGACATTCTTAGCTAACCTGAAAATTTCCAATTCTTATAAAGCAAAAATGTGAGTAAAGGTAAAATATAAATAATAAGAGAAAAATACAACTATTAGATAAAATTTTATCTTATACTGTAAAATAACTGCTTTGTGATTTGGTGCCCAGCTCCAAGTCCTCCTGATTTCTGGTGGCCTCAACTACAGAAGGACTGGGGAGGGTCTGGCCAGTGCTGCCACTGTGTGCCCCGGGGACAGCACAGCTCAGAGACTGGCACTTGGCTACCAGTAAAGGCACCCTCAGTTCCCATCCATGCCCCCCAAGGAGGCTCCTGGAGTGATGGGAAATGGGATGGATGCTGGTGGTGATGCACACAGAGAGCAAAACAGGATATGGTTGTGCTCTGAAAGGTGTTTCTGAAACAAAATCTCTCTCAGTGCAGCACATCCACTCACTGCCCGAGCTCAGGCTCTGCTTTCTCATAAACAGGCTGGTTCCTGGGGAAATGAAAGTGAAGTGGAGAATCCATCACGTGTGTGAGTGGGAACAGCAAAGGAGTCCATCCCCAAGGCCAACAGTGCTCAGCCACAAGGGGTTTGGTCCTTCTACTGTTCCTGGCCTCAGTTTTGTGGTCTATTAAAGTCTCTTCCAAACCATCCCCCCAGTCCCTGGGGGAGGCAGGGGGTGCCAGGGGCACACAGGGAAAGGCGGGGGGGAGCAGGGACAGAGCCTGGGGACCACCAGGGGTGACATCACAGAGTTTTGGGGTGAGGGAGAGGAAGTAAAATGTTTTTCTTTAAATCACTACAGTGAGAACACTTTGCAAAGTGTGAGAGCAGCAGAGGCAGCTGCTGGGAGGTGCTGGGAATGCTTCACATCCCAGATCCTGCCGAAACTAGGGAAGCACCCTGGGACTGATGTGACCTGAGGCAGCATCCTCCACTGAGGGCTCAGGGCTCATCCCAGGAGATCACAACAGCAACAAACCCCATTTCAGCACTAAACCCCAAACCCCCAGTGCTGCCAACCCAAGAGCATCAGAGAGAAACCCAGCCCCGCCCCCAGGGGACAACTCTGTGGTGAAGATGCCACAGTGCTGAAGGCTCCCAGTGCTGAAGGCTCTGGCTCCCACACCACATTAATTAAGGCACATCAAGTCATCAGCAGCCTCAAAAGAAGGCTGGAAGCTTTGACCAGCAGGAGTATCAGCTGCTGGAACAGGCACATGGCTGCATTTCTGGGAGGTGTGATCCCAGTGGGGAGCAGTGCCACCACAGGGGTGACAACCCCATGCCCTGCAAGGCTGTGAGAGCCCACAATGTGCCCAAGAGATTAATTTCTTATAAACAGAAATAAAAAGGGCTATCTAGAGCTACAAACCCCTGCTGTAAACAGGAATTGTGATCTGAGTAAATCAATGATGCTTGAAAGGTGTAGGTGACACAGAGACCCCGGTACCTGCTGCAGGTGTGAGATGTTGGGGTGGGGACACAGCACCTCACTACCTGTGTGACCCTTTGCAGAGCTGAAACCCTCTCCACAAACCATGCTGCAAAGTGTGTCTTGTTCTCCTGAGCAGACACGTAAGAAAAATGAGTAAATGCAAATTACAAAGTTGCAAATCTTCAATTTGATTTGCAAGGTTTTGCAAGGTTGAATTGCTACAGAAATGGTTTAAAAAGTCATTTTTCAAATTAACCAATTGAATAGAGACTCGGTGATCACTCTTGATCTTAAAAAGTGGTAATTCTAATGTTTCTTGAGCTGGAGTCCCCAGCTGGATAACCGGGGAAGTGCTGCTTTTCAAAATCAAACCAGAGCCAGCTCTGCCCTCTGCCGATGGGGACCACGATGGCTCAGGAACCTGGGGATGGGTGACACCACTTCATGGCACGCTTGGAAGAGTCCTCGGCTCTCACCCTGGTTTGCTCCGTGAAATCCACTAAACGAGAAAATAACAACCGTGGAGAAGCCGCTGCTTTTGGAGGAGCCCAAACCTGACCCCGATCAGCACCCCCGGAACACTGGAACTGCAGCACGGGGGTAACAACACCCAGATGAGACAGAAGGGGACAGTGAGGGGAAGGAAACTAATGGATGAAGCATCTCGCTCCCTCAGCCTCAGCCCCGTGCCCTTCACAGAGGGGCTCTGCCAGTGGGCACCTGCCCCTGGGAGCCGGCTCTGCTTTAGCAGGGGTCGAGCACCCCCAGACCCCCCTCCTCCAGCAGCAGGGGCAGCTACTGGGGCAACAGTTACCAAAACACCCTGAAACCACCATCAGGTCTACAAATACAGACATAAAAAGCACAAAAATGGAAAAGGAAAGAGGAGGAGGGTCCAGCCAGGCCCCAGGGCAGGGGGAGCACCCCAAAAGCGGTGCCCTCCCATCCCGTTCCTCTGCGCGGGCGCAGCCGCGGCTCCACCAGTTGCACTTTTGCTTTGCACGTCGAGGGAGGGACCCACTGGCAGCACCCACAGGGCCACACGGAGCAGCCTGGCA